AAAATTCTTCCAATATGATCTTACCTATGGACTGGCTGCAACGGTACCCAAATAACTTCAAGATACAGAAATGAGAATTCTGATTGTAGATGAATAAGCACAGAATAAAGTGAAGTTGATGTTCACAATAAGACACTAGGAAAATACATCCTGTGCACTTGTGGGCAAGATGGTGACAGAGTCAGGATAGAAAAAGGCAGGGAAAACTTTGGAAGCCCAGGAAGCAAATAGCAAAGCCTCAGAAAAGCCTGGAGAAAAAGCCTGTGACACAGACATTAGACCCAGCTTTCAGCTTTGCTGGCCTCTCTCAAGGGATGTGGCCAGAGACTTGGTAGAAAAAGTGCTTCCAAAAAATAAGTCAGGCCAGAAATGGGCAATCCTGTCCTCAGGTCAACATTGAACCAGTCACAGTCACACTCAGCTGTGTTCAATGAGACAGTGTCTTATAGCAGACAGGCTGTGGTGAAGAGCACTGTCATTTGTCATTCCATGACTCTAGGCAACAGCTGGCCTAGAGTCAGAATCTACAATTACCCTGGGAACCTGACCTATCAGCGGGGCTTGAATCAGGCAGAAACCACAGGTCAGTGAGTCTTGGTTTGTTCTGCTCATCTCCTAAATGAAGGCAGTTATTGACAGCAGGGAGACAGAGGATTGCTCACAAGCCTGACAGTATATACGCAGGAGGCTCAGCTCAGGCTAGAATAACCATGAGAAAAAATAGTCCTGCCTCTTTCAGCTTGGAAAGATCTCATCAACCAAGAACAACCCTGGTGTGTGATAGCTCTGAGCACCACACCAGTGAGTAGACCAGTTTCTGGAGGAAACTACAGCTTTAGGGCCTAAGAACTCTGAAATCACAAGGGTGATAGGCATTCAAGGGTCCCTGAAAGTGTGAAGACAGGTCCTCTACCGGTGCCAATCTCACTGTTGTGGCTACTTCTCACTGTCCCAGTGCACATGGGAGCCACCACCCAGCTGTAACAATAGACACTCTAGGGCAAGAGTTTGAGGAGTCTTGGAAGCATGAAAGAAACTGAAGAAATCACAATCCACAAAGGCTAAGTGTAGCCAGCAGCAGCCCACGGTACACATACAAGGAACACTTCCAATGTAGAGGCCCATGGTACACACACAAGAAAGGAACACTTCCAATGCAGAGGCCCATGGCACACACAAAAGGAACACTTCCAGTGTGAAGACCACGCTAAAGACATGAGATAGTTATCCACCACAGACTCAACCACAGCATAAACAAAGAAGGGAAGAGGGAAAGAGAATACACATTCTCCCCACACACACCTGTAGCCTCCAATTTTCAAAAGGACCAGAAAGGAGCAGCCACACCCATCTCAAATTGTTCAAGCCTTGTGATCTTTTAATCCTCATTCATTATACTTTTACCATTATTTTTTACTTACTTTATCCATAAAATGTGTGTGTGTGCATTTCTCATTATCTTGTATATATTTATTTAGCTCTCTGTAAACAATATTTTCATTACTAGCAATGCATTTTCCATTTGCTCCTGTGTTTCTTCCCTGCCCTTTCTATTTTTAACTGTATTTTGACTATATTGGGTTGGGTTTTATTTTTTTAAACACTCTCATGGTTTTATTTCGTTTTGTTGTTGTTCTCTTTTATCCTGGGTAGTGTTTCTATTGCTGTGATAAATACATAACCAGAAGCAACTTGGGGGAAAAGGGTTTATTTCATCTTATTCTTCAGGAAGTCATTGCAGGAACGGAAGTAGAGGCCATGGAGGAATGCTGCATGTGGATTGCTTGTCCACTTTCTTATGTACCTAGGACCATGTGCCCAGGCATAACGCCACCCACAGTGAGGTGGGCTGGGTACTCCCATATTGATCATCAACCAAGAAGATGCCCCACAGGCTTGCCCTCAAGCCCCTCTGATGGGGGAATTTTTCATCTGAATCTCCCTCTTTTCAGATGACTCTAGCTTGTGTCAAGTTGGCAAAACCCTAACCAATACACCCTTTTTCCAATTATCAAGTTTTTAAATTTTTCTTTATTGGGAAATTTCTAAGGAAATTCAATTTGTGGATGTTGTTGCTAACACAATGGTTTGCTTAGTCTTTGCTGAGCTGTACTTCAGATGCAGCCATCAAAGAGTAGCCTACTTAAAAAGACAATCCCCTCCAGTAAGCTGGAAAAGCAAAAAAAAAAAAAAAAAAAAAAAAAAAAAAAAAAAAAAAAAAGGATGCATTTGGAGAATCACCCAAACCAAAAAGAAACCAAAACAGTCCCATATGAATGAGGAGATGGAAACAGTCATGAAAAAGACTACCAGCTTAAAAAAAAGTTCAGGAAGAAACAGATGTAAAGCAGAATTCTACCACATGTTTAAAGATCTATAGCCAACCCTTCATAAATTATTCAAAGAAAACAGAAACAGAAGGGACCCTCCCAAACTCCTTCTACAAAGACAGTGAATGTCAAGTTTTTATACCAAAGCCAAGTAAAGACACAACAACAACAACAACAAAATTGCAGTATCTCTGGAGAACAGACTAAAAAATCATCAGTAAAATCCTAGCAAACATAATGAAGACATACATCAAAAAGATTATACACTATGACCAAGGTGGCTTCATCCCTGAAATGCAAGAATGGTTCAACAGACTGGAGTTAATAAATCTAATAAATGGTTTTAAAGACAAAAAATTCACAGGATCATCTCAATGGATGTAAAGAATACTTTTGACAAAATCCAATATACCTTTATGAAAAAATGTCCTAGAGAAAGTAGGACTAGAGAGAACATACTCAACACATTAAAAACTATATATGAGGAACCCACAGTCAAGATTATCTTCAACGGAGAAAAGCTTGAAATAATACCACTGAAGTCAGGAATGAGACAGGGATGTCCACTCTCCCCAGTGCTTATCACCATTGTGATAAAAGTACTAGTTGGGGCAACAAGGCAAGAGAAGGAAATTAAAGGGATACAAATATGGAAATAAATCAATTTGTAGATAACAGGGTACTATACATTAAAGATCCCAAAAATTCTACCAGAATACTTATAAAACTGACAAGCAAATTCAGTGGCATGGCAGGATGCAGAATAAACTTGTACATATCAATAGCTTTTCTATAAGCCAAAAACAAAAATACAGAGAAGGGGATCATGGACACATGCCCATTCCAATAGCCTCAAAGAAAGGAAAATACCTAGGAATAAACCTACCAATGAAATGAAGGAGGTCTACAATGAAAACTGTAGACCTCTGAAGAAAGAGATAAAGACACTAGAATGCAGAAAGATATCATGGATTAGAAGAAAATAATATTGTGAAAGTGACCATTCTCCCAGGGCTATTTGCAGATTCAAGGCAATCTCACTCAAAATTTTCATCCCACTCCTCTCCTTGATTTCCTTTCCTTGAGGGCAGAAGAGCAGTAAGCAGAGCCTGGAAAGAGTGAAATGAAGGAGCGTGGTTGGGACAGTTGATGCCTGGGTTCTATGTCACAGCCAGATACATAGAAGCAAGGACTGACGCAACATTGCACAGTGTTTAGTGACGTTTCTATTGCTGTGTGAAGAGACACCATGACAACAGCAACTCTTACAAAGTAAAAAAAGGATGTTGGGGGAGGGGGGGGGGGGGGGCTCTCTTACAGTTTCAGAGGTTCCGTCCATTATCATCATTGCTGGGCGTGCAGGTAGACATGATGCTGGCTACATCTTGGCTTGCAGGGAACAGGAAGTCAACTGAGACAATGGGTGGTATCCTGAGCACAGGGAACGGCAAAGCCTGCCCCACAGTGACACACCTCCTCCAACAAAGCCACACCTCCTAATAGTGCCACTCCCTATGAGATTATGGGGGCCAATTACATTCAAACTCCCACACACAGGGTGACTATGGAAAAGGTAATGGACATTTCAAAGATTGAAGTAAAGAAGACTGAGTTTTCACCCCAATGAGACAACCAATGGGACAAGGGAAATTAGTTCAGTTGGTAAACTGCCTGCCTTAAAGCAATGGCAACCTGAGTTCAGATCCCAAGAACCCACGCTAAAAGCTATGTATGGTGCAAAGGTTTGTAGTTCCAGTGACAGTGAGAGAGGAGGTAGAAAGGATAGATCCCCAAAGCTCATTGGCCAGCTGACTGACTGTACCTGATAAAGTTCCAGGCCAAAGACTCTATCTGCAGTGGTTTGAAAAAGAAAGTCCCATAGGCTCATAGGTTTGAATGCTTGATCATTAAGGGACTGGCACTACTTGATTGGAATTAGGAGGTGTGGCCTTGACAGAGTAGGTGTGGCCTTGTTGGAGGAACTGTGTCATTGGGGGTGGGCTTTGGTGTTTCAAATGCTCAAGCCCAGGCCCAGTGTCTCTCCCTCTGGCTGCTGCCTGTAGATCTGAATGTAGAACTCTTTGCTACTCTCCAGCACCATGTCTGGCTGCGTGCAGCTGTACTTCCCACCTTGATGCCAATGGACTAAACCTCTGAAACTGTAAGTAAGCCCTAACTAAATGCTTGCTTTTGTAAGAGCCGCTGTGCTCATGGTCTTTCTTCACAGCAACAGAACAGTGACCAAGACACTGCCCCAAACAAAACAGAGGAGATATTTAAGGAACAACACCTAAAGTTGCCCTCTGTCACACACAAACATGTACAATTTGCACACCCATTTTTGCATATGAAGCAACAAATGTGTGAGTAGAAGGGTATTTAAGCTGGCTGGAACATTGAACATTTAGAACATGACACAGTATATATAATTTTTATGTTTTGGTATATCAGTTTAAAAGCAAAGCAAGAAAAAAAATAGGATTTCCTTTTAAATATACCAGGCATCAAGAACACTTACGCTCTAGAATAACATGTACAGAATTCAACCATAATCAAGTAGCTTGGAGTGACTGGAACCCTCGGGTTTGGTTCTAGTGGTGAGACCACTCCACTGTGCATTTCAGGCATGATCGCCAACAGGCTGAACCGATGCAGAGAATGACGTCTTACCAACCACCCATCCTGATCCACATGCTCTTTGGACTCCATGCTCATCTTCCTCTTCCGGTTGGGCTGTCTCATCGCCACTTCAGCTCTCCTCAGCAGAGTTTTCTGTAAAACAGTGGCACATTAAACACTGGAGGGAGTTCTCACCCTTCACAATTACAAGAGCAAGGAAAACACATGCTTCTGCAGTTTGTCCCGCAAGTGTTCATGGGTAGAGAACATTAAAAAGCACAGCTTAGCAGGTTGGCTTGAACCACAGGCCTTGAAGAGGATTAACACAGTTCTAGAGAGTTGCTGCCATGAGAAGGCAGGCCTGGCCACTCTGGCTGTCAGTCCTGCTCTGCAGTCTTTGGCTCCCTAAATCATCCCAATGCTGTGTTGCTGCCTGTCCTGAGAGTTTTACAAGAGCCCAGCTGATGCCAGCCCATGCCCTTGAACACAAGAACTGTAAGCCTTAAAAAAACAAAGCCTAAAATAATACCAGCTTCAAGTATTTTATTAAAGAACAAAGAATCCAACTAACGTAAACACTTAATAATTTTATTTATTATAATTAGCTACTGACAAAATTATTACTATTGGTTTTAGAGCTTTTAATATCAGAATGAGATAATGGGAAGAGTGAAAGATTTCATTTCCTACCAGAATTTCTGTAAGGAAATAGATACTGTTGTGTTTGGCCTCTCTAGGATACATGCTCCTGCTGGTTTGTTTGCTTAGATGACTCTTCAGAGCTAGCCTGACTGTGCACAAGGGCCTGACTGTGCACAAGAGCCAGAGCAGAGGGATAGCAGTCATGGCGCGGCACTTCAAACCAGGAATCAAGATGAAATATAACAATTCAACCATAGGGACGCATCTTCAGCATACTGGCGTAAAGCAGTCAAGATTCTTTGAAATATGAAATATGATTTGAAATGAGATTTTATTTTATTTTTTAACCTAGCAGGGCAATCAGATGAGAAGCAAGCATCAGTACTATGCATGTACCACAGAAGACACCATTCTAAAACACAGTGTCTGATTTTAACAGCTAACACGCAGTATCTAGTAAATGGCCAGTCCTAAGCCAGAGTTAGGTGTCTTTGACAAACATGACAGCCATGCTCGTCACTTCCCCTCCAGAGCCCTCCCACCTCCTCTTCCCATACCAGCTTTACAGTGCTCATGCTGTCCCACTGTGCGCATCACAGGCTGTCCTGCTCCCCCTGCACTAGGTCTACCCAGAAGAAAATGCATGCTTTGGAACAATGACATGCTTGGGGCTAATGGCAGCTCTGACTTTGCCTGAGCCACAGATTGGGACTCGTCACCGTTTCATCCCTTAGGTCACAGTTTGCCTATCTTTTTACCTAGTGAGCATTCCTTGAATTGCCTTCCTATATAGGACTTCTTTCCACCTTTAACTTTATGTTACCCTCAACAGAATGATTTCACAGTTTCCTCCAGTGCAATGTGCAGCTCCTGGCTCCCACCTTCTGCTGGCCCTCAGCCTCTGGATCCCTCCGTCCTGCATAGCACCCTTTTTCCCATCTTTCACTACTCACCCATCTAAGTCAACTAAGAAGATTTCAGAGCCTTCAGAAAAGCCTTTCTGATGACTTCCTGTGTCTAACGGACCTCACGTGAATTTCCTACACTTCATGGTTACTGTGCATGCCTTTGACGCAGCACTTACTGCTTTGAGCTACATTTTTTAATTTCTTCGTATATTCTTCCTTGTGTGGCTACAGCAGCCTGATAAAAAGGACTGTGAATTGCCCATCCTTATTTCCCATTACCTAATTATACCTGACTCTTAGCAGACTCTCAGTATGAGTTTGTTAGGTTTAACTGACTACATGTCTCCCTGATTTACAGCAGAACCTCGGAGCCTTTACTCCAAAGGATGTTAGTCCCTCATTCAAACATTATCCTTCTAGAGTGCTGTATGACTAGAGTATCATCAGCAAACTCAACTCCTATCACATTTTCCTTCACACACACACACACACACACACACACACACACACACACACGCACGCACGCACGCACGCACACACACAGACACACATACACACATACACACACACACAGACACGCACACACACACACAGACACATATACATACACACACACACAAACACGCGCACACACACACACATACACACAGTGCACACACACAGACACACACAGAGACACACACAGTAGACACACAGAGACACACACATACACACACACAGACACACACAAACACTGGAGGGAGACTGCTGGATCACTTTAACTTTTAAGAAACTGCCATACTGTTTTGGACTGTAGCTATATATTATTATTACTACTATTATTTATTATTATTATTATTATTAATTACTGCTACTGCTAGTACTATTATCTGTAAACTCTAACATTTACCGAGTGGATGAATATCCACTCAGTAGTACTAACAAAGCAAGATGGTTGGTATTCAAATGTATTAATAGGCGATTATAACTAACGATGACTACTTACACATAAATGATTAATACTTCATTACATTAACAACAGCAGCAAATATCACCCAAGTACTCACATACTAGGCATCTCTATAATGGTGTTTCCAGCTAACATATATGACACCCCAATGGCCTATGTGCTACTGATACCCCACCTTAAAACATGGAGAGGTTAAGTGACCTGTCTCAGTGCCCAGGTAGCACAGTGCCAGAGTCCTGCCTTCAAACCTTGCAGCAGCTTTTGTCATTGTAATCCGTTTAGCAATCTGAAGCTGAAACTCTCCAAGCCCCTTGCTGAACTTCTCTAGAGAGTCGGCAGTGATGTTTCTTTACCTCTATTAAGGCTGCTGGCGTTTCATTATTTAGTTTATTTTACCCATTTCTGGAATCTCAAAAGGTGGTTGGTTAACTACATAGTAACTGTCTACTCTTGCACCATACGACGGTATCATAGGAGTCCCAAGATTCAGAGCCCAAAAGTTATCACACTGGCTTACCTGACAAACTCTAACAAGCACATTCATACATAACCTTCAAATGGGAGCCCTTCCTGTCTCTGAGTGGCTACAACAAAACCAAATAATCAGAAATAGAGCCTCCCCATTTCTCTCTCTCTCTCTCTCTCTCTCTCTCTCTCTCTCTCTCTCTCTCACACACACACACACACACACACACACTCTCTCTCTCACTCACTCTCTCCCCCTCTCTATCTCTCTCACACACACACTCTCACTCACTCTCTCCTCTCTCTCTCACACAACACTCTCACTCACTCTTCTCTCTCCACACACACACACAGACACACACACAGACACACACACACAGACACACACACAGACACACACACACAGACACACACACAGACACACACACACAGACACACACACAGACACACACACACAGACACACACACAGAGACACACACACAGACACACACACAGACACACACACACAGACACAAACAGACACACACAGACACACACACACACTGCAGTAGCAGCAGCAGTAAAGGTCTCAGGTTAAGAACTTGAGCTTTAGCTCCGTTTTCAGCCTCATGTGTTGCTTTGAGGCCTGCCTTCTTTCAGTTCTTTTCAGAATGATTTCAAGCATTTTTATATCCCAGCTATGACTATATAATGAGTAGCACATAGATCCTCACGAGACCTTAGAGGTTTATTTCCCTGTTGTGAGCTTCTGTCCCAGATGTCTGTCTTTGTTTCCACACACTCCTTCACTCTAAACAAAGAACAGAGTCATGAAAATATCCTTCTTGGGGGACTGGAGAGATGCTCAGGGTTCAGAGCACTTACTGCTCTTCCGGAGGTCCTGAGTTCAGATCCAGCACGCAGACTGGGCATAAGCACAACTGCCTGTAACTCCATCTCCAGAGAAACTAATACTCACTGTGGGTACCCCCACACACACACACATGGCATAAGTCAGAAATATAAACACACATAAGCACACATGAATAAAAAACAGACATTAAGAATTAAAATAACTCTCTTTGTGAAACAGCATGAAATCAGAAACAAAGTGCTGAGGCTAAAATGCTGAGTCCAGTGTGCCCAGAGCAAGAAGAAGGCAGACGTTAAGGCTCTTGTTCCCACATGGGAGTCCAAGGAGGACAGCAAAAGCTGGAGGGTGCCTCAGTGTGTTCCCATGGATCCAAGAGGTGGTCAGCAGGCAGCTCCCTGAATGGTGAATTAGTATTTAAATGGTACCTGGGCATGGGCATCAGGAGCAGTGGTTATGGCTGCACATCTAAGTAGACAAAGAAAGACCAGCACAACAAACAAAAAGCCAGAAGAGTAAGGGACATGCATTGTGAGCACATGGTGGAGAGCGTGTGTTGTGAGCACAGGGTGGAGAGCGTGTGTTGAGAGCACAGGGTGGAGAGCGTGTGTTGTGAGCACAGGGTGGAGTGCATGTGTTGTGAGCACAGGGTGGGGCACACCCATTGTGAGTACACAGCCTCCCCTCCAAGCGCATTTCAAGCCAAATGTGAAGAATCATGAGATCCACCACCGGGTGAAGAATTCAGCCCTCACAAAACTGCAGTGACAGGAAGTTTAGGGTGCACAAAGGATAAGTGACCCTAAAACATCCTAACAAGTGAACAAGAATTTTCACTATTGATCTGACTTGAAAGCCATGAATAGACTCAAAATCCTCAAGACGACTCCATGAAGCTGAAGCCAGCAGAGCTTTAAAGGCTGCAAAACAGGGAGGGGAATGCAAGCCAAAAACACAGCTACCAAGACAAAGGAGTACAAGACTTTAGGCCCATCTCCATAGGCAAAAGGCCCCTGATGGGGGACGTCCTTCTGTATATATGTTTCTCTTATTGGTTGATGAATAAAACACTGCTTGGCCAATAGAGGCAGGAAGATAGGTGGGGCTAGGAGACGAGGCAAATTCTGGGAAAGGTAGGCAGAGAGACGCCATTCAGCTGAGGAAGGAGTAACAGGTCTGGACCTTTTCCCGGTAAGATATGACCATGTATAAATACATAGATTAATAGAAATGGGTCAATAATTAAGAGAGAGCTAGCCAATAAGAAGCCCTAGTCATCGGCCAACACTTTTATAATTAATATAGTGTCTGTGTGTTTATTTGGGTCTGAAGCAGTCC